GAGGCTGAGGAGCATTAAATGCAAAACTACTAGACAGAGAAACAGCTTCATTCCAGAAGCTGTGAGACTTCTCAATGCATAAATGGAAAAGAACTGTTATACTACTGATACTTTACTGACACCATCACTTTATTAATGCTGGTCATCATGCCCTCTTGCTGCTAAAAGATTTATACCTATATTTCAATATTTATACTCCATAATGGTACTCAGGTTGTTGCACTCTACTTGTATTATTTCATTACTTGCTATTTGTTAGTTGTTTTTTTTTAGTTTCTTTGTTATTCTGTTTCTTTTCGCTTCTATGGATAAAAGGGACCGTGTGTATGTAATTTCATTCCACCTCATGTAAACATGTGTTGCAAATGAAAATAAAACTTCCTTGATCCTTGATCTTGACGAGTAGAAACGGTGTCATCTGTGATTTTCCAGTCTTTAGGTTTTGTTTATGTGCCTCCCCTGTGTTCCGTGTTATACCCACTCTGTGTCCTTCCTGTGCCAATGTTTCAGGTCTCTGTGTTCTCTGTCTTCTTTGTTATCCTTGCTTCTGTGTTCATGTATTTCCTGTTTTACTTTGAAAGTCTGTGTCCTATGTCAGTGTATTCTGTTTTGCTTCCTCCCTGTCTCATCACTTCTAATTAGGTTCAGCTGTATCTCCCTCCTATTCAATTTAATTCAATTCAATTTTATTTATATTGCACCAAATTACAACAACAGTCAACTCAAGGAACATCCTGTTTGCATTTCCATCGTTACCTTATGTGTATTTATTGTGTGTGCTTCCCTTTGTCCCTTGTTGGTCCGTCTGCTTGTTTTCTTCCATGTTGCCTCTGTATTTCTTCCGTCAGCTTTACCCGCGTTTCCTGGTCTCTCTTTTCTGGCCTCTGGTTTCCACCCTCAGGTTATATGTTTATGCATAGTTATTCCCAGTTTAGGTTTTGCTTAGTTTTCTCTGTTCCACTTGTTTGTAGTTTTTGTTCAGCTGTCCATAAAGGCTCATTTTTTGTTATCATCCACCCTCATCTCCGTTTGCCTGCACTTGGGTCCTCAATCTCCTCACACACCTGACATTTGTTGTCTTTAACAAATCAACTGTTTTTGTTTTGCTTTGTTTACATTGCTTTTACTTTTATTAATATTATGTTGCCCACCACTGGTAATGGTTTACCTGCAGGTTGAGTGTGACAGTGACAAAAATCAAGCAAGCAGACATGACACCGTAACCGCCGAACA